GCGATAATAAGAGTTTTCCTGACTTAGTTCCCCAACTCTTCTTTGATGACTTTCTCCCTTTTAATTATCAGCTGTGAGCAAGATAATTCAGTTATCAGTTATCCATATTCTCCTAGAGAATAATTTTCAAAAAGAAAAAAACTAGTGTTTAGTATTTACTGGGCTTTTGTTGCTTTCACATCCCTTCCCTCACTACAGGATTATAATATCATGTCAGTCTTCTGCTTAAACTCTCCTGTCCATTGCACTTAGAAGAAAATCCAAATTTCTGACCATGATTTTAAAAGGTCCTGCATGCTGGCCCTTACCTACGTCCCTGGTCTCATCTCTTAAACTACTCTTCTCCATGCACACTACTCCGAGCCACCCTGGTCTCCAGCTCTTGCTGGAATACATCAGTCTACTTCCACCTTATATTTTTGGTACTTGTTATTTTTGTTTTGTTTGTTTGTTTGTTTTGTAGCTCCAAACGGTCTTCCTGAGGTATTTGGCTGGCCAGTTTCTTCTCGGACTTCAGGTCTTACTATCTTAGAACAGCCTTTTCTAATAATCCTGTCTGAAATTGTATCCTTTTCCTCCATCACTCCCAGTCACACCTCCCTTTATTTCATTTTAAAATATTCATATCACTCTCCGTCATCGAAGTTATCATATTTATTTACTTTGTCAGTTATTGTCAGTTGCATTTATTAGAGAAGTTTTTGAGGATTGTCAGAAATTTTGTCTGGCTTACTCTCTACTGTACTCCTAAGGCTCGTGACAGTGTCTAGCACGGAGCAGGCTCAGTAGGTGGTTACTGATGGCATGAACGGAGGAATGACTAGTGATCATTCTCTGTCAGCAGAAGGGGAGGAGTGGCCCCTCAACAGAGGGGCCTGGGAAGTGGCTCCAGAGAGGGTGCCTATGTGGGAAAATACTGGAACCTGGAGAGTGGGTCCTCACCTCTCTCCCCTTGCTTTGCAGGCCAGAGGCACCCAATGAGTTCTATGATGGAGACCATGACAACGACAAGGAAAGCGATGTGGAGATTTAAGAGCAGCTGGGCTTGCTGTGCGCCAAGGAGTTCCTTTTTACCTCTTGATTGGGTGGGAGGGAAAAGGTGTGGGTCCCCCAGCTCTGGAGTGGTCACCTTCACTGGTTTTACTGATACTAGGGGACTATTTGGAGGTCACATCTTATTCTCAAACCAACTATCCTCTTTCTTCTCCCTCCCAAGGCCTGACAATGGTACCTATTTGGGATTGGATGGGGACAAAGATAGGTATCTCTAGAGCCTCTTGGGCAGTGGGCCCTAGCTGCCAGTCCCTGCCCCTCTGGCCCCCTTATTCCTTACCGGCTTCCCTCCAACCAGAGAGTTTTAGGGATGAAGGAGTAATCAGGACTGAGGTTGCCTCTGACTTCCTCCTCTCCTGGGCTCTCCTGCATAGGCCTTGCTTCCAGTGCAGGGGAGGAGTGAGGGATTTTAGGGGGCTCTGGCTCCTGAATACCTTAGCCCCAAATGGTGGGAAGTACATTTTTGAGTTGGGGGAGGATGTGAAAATGTCCTGTTGTAATTTTTGGCTTTATGTCCATTTTACCACTGTTTTTATCCAATAAACCAAGTTGGTATTTTTTGTACTTTTTGCCTTTCTGGGCATAGTCTTAATTTTTGCTAGCTACCTATGCGTGAAGGGAGAGTGAATGGGAGTGACGATGTATGTAATAAAAATCATAGTTGATATTCACTTAACGCTTACCATATGTTAGGCCCTGCATATGTATTCTACGTGGGTTATCTTCTTCATATATAGGGAGTTAATAGAGCATTCTGGTTAATAGTTAGACCAAAAGTCCCAACCTTTTTGGCACCAGGGACCGGTTTTTCTGTGGGAGGCAGGGGAGGCAGCAGGAGGTGCTCAGACCAGCTTCACTTCCGCCCAGTTCCCAGCAGGCCACGGACCAGTATGGGTCTGCGGCCTGGGAGTTGGGTGCCCCTGAGTTGGACAAACCTGGGCAGATGACTAGTTTAAGAGAGGGAGTAGAAGACGACTTCAGATTTTTGAACTTGGGTGTTTGGAATGGTTGTGCAAGTTGGTGAAGATCCACTGAGTGAAAACGTGTCAAGTGCTTAATTAGCACAGTGCCGGACATAAAGTTTCCCATTATTTTAACTGTCTGTGAAGAACGATGCTGGTAGTCACAAACACGGGCCCTTCCCTGAAGGAGATTACCATCCAGTGAGGAGTGAGATAAATGTTACATAGCAGATGTAGGCAGTGGTACAATAAAGAGTTCGAAGTGTGGGCTGGACAGCTCTATGCAACTTTCCATCAGGCAAGTAGAAAGTGGAACTCAGAGATGAAGGCCAGATTTAGGAGCCCGCCAGGCTGCCAGCGTCCTTGTAATCTTACCAAGCCCTAGACTGAGCACTGGGGCTACAGAGTGAGTGAGTCACTGAACCTCCCCTCCAGGAACATACATTCCAAGTTGCCAGCTCTGGGCAAGGAAATTCAGTCCATGCCTTGAGGGCCCACGGGGTGCCACAAAGTTTTCACTCCAGGAACAGTTGTAGCTGGGAGAAAGGAATTACCAAGAGAAATCAAACTAGTAGAGCAAAGAACATAATCTTGGAAAACACCTGTTCTTTTCACTCAGTTTGGTTTATGTCAGTAGGGAATCTTGGTTAAACAGGACTTAGCAGTTAGACTAACCTGGATTTAAATTTTTTATCAATTATGTGTCCTTGGGCAAATCACTTCAATGCTCAAAGTCCAAATTTCCTGTCTGTAAAATAGACAACTGGAAACTATGACATGACATTGTGAGGATTCAGTGAAAAAATGCAAGTAGAGTGTTTTATTATGAGTTCCTGGCATGGAACAAGTGCTTTGTAAATGGTGACTTATTACTGTGTAGGCACACATTGGCAATAACTAGGTTTTCTGTGTTGGAAACAACTAGAAAGGAGCAGACCTGGGATTCAAAAGTAGGTAATCTATCCAGGAGCCAGAGGATGTTCAGGTAGCTTTGTAGCGGGGTGCCGGGCTCCTTGCTGCAGTGTCCCAGGGACCCCGCTGTGGTGTGACTGATCTCACTGGTGTCTGGTGCCCTGTGGAGGTCCTGTGGGATGGGAGACTGCTCACCCTTGATCTGTTTGTAGGTCATGCCAGCACCTGCTTCTGAAGTGTTTGACCCTTGGTCTCTCCACTTTCCTTGGTGGTGGGGTTCCTGTGTTTGGATACCGCGGGTCCCACCCTGTGGGCCTCTGTGGGTCCACTGATATACTCTTAGGAGCACCTAACTGTGCCAGGTGGCATCTCTGTTTTGCTTGGCCACTTATTGTTGCTCTGGGGATATTTTTCAAGGTGGTTTCCGTATTCATTGCCAGGACTTCCGTAACAAAATACCACGGGCTGTGTGGCTTAAACAACAGTAAAGTTTTTTTCTCTCACTGTCTTAGAGGCTGGAAGGCCAAGGTCAAGGTGTTGGCAGCATTGATTACTTCCAAGACCTGTCTCCTTGGGCAGCCTTCTTAAGTGTCCTCAGTTGTCTCCCCGTCTGTTCACACACACCCCTGATGACTCTTCCCTTTTTTTTTTTTTTTTTTTAAGATTGCATTTATTTACTTTTAGAGCAGAGGGGAGGGAGAAAGAGAGAAACATCAATGTATGAGAGATACATCAGTCAGTTGCCTCTCACACCCCAACCAAGCCTGTGGCCTGCAACCCTGGCATGTGCCCTGACCGGGAATCAAACCAGTGACCTCTTGGTTCGCAGACTGGAGCTCAACCCACTGAGCCATGCCGGCCAGCATGATTCTTCCTCTTATAAGGAGACTAGACAAACTGGATTAGGGTTCTTCCTTATGACCTTATTTTAATCCAATTATCTCTTTAAACACCTTATGTTCATTTAAAGTTATTAGGTGATGGGACTTGAACAGATGAATTTGGGGGAGACACAATATGGCCCATAGCAGTTTCCTTCCCCTCCGTGTATCTGGGCTTTGTCTTTTGCTGGACCCTTTCAGGACTCAATGAAAGCCCCTTGGCTGCTTCTACCGAAACACTGTGCTGTTGTGGCGCTGTCTAGGGGTCAGGAACAAGGAAGGGGGGTGCCAAGCAGGACAGAAGTCTAGGAAGTCTGGGGCAGCAATGAAAAGCCCCTTCCAGAGAGTTTTGGACTCAAAGACCCGCCTCTTCGCTGAAGCTTGACCCAGGCAGGTGCAGGTGTTTCCCAAAGAGCCACCCACAGTCTGGGACCAAGACAGCTGGACATCTGGCTTCAGGGAGGTATGAAAGAAGTGCTTATGTGGGAAGTTCTCCAGGTACAGAGCGCTGCAGAATGCCAATACACTTTGTTTAAGAAAAGGGAGAAATAAGAGTCTGCATTTGATTTGTATTTGAATAAAGAAACTCGGCAAAGATGGATGCACGAAAAAACAAAAACAAAATAAATTTACGTAATCTAACTCCAGAGCTTGTCAAGTTCCCTCTAGCACATGCCCTCCCTACCAAGCTCTCTTCTTGGTACATAGCTTTTAATTAAAGATAGCTGTCACTTTTTATGTGTTTTTCCGTGTGCTCCATTGATACCGCACACATGAAAACTATTATTTTTTGCCAAGATCAACAGTCTCTCATGGGATTTTGGTTCAGATAATATCCTAGTCTGGGGTATAAGAGGGTTCAGGCTTTACAGCCACGTGGGCACTGCGTGGGAGTGGGGAGGCCTGTGCTGCGTTCACTACCAGGGGGCGCTGCTTGCTGTTGCGGCCAAGCAGAGGTTGCACCGCCCACTCGTCACCCCCTCCCCCGTACGTGAGTCTGAATGGTTAGGCCCGCAGGGCAGGTAGCGCGCTTCCGTGGCTTCCCTCCACCCCCCTCCCTCCATTCATTGGTAGGGGCTGTAGATCCGGGCGGAAGTGGGGCAGGCGGGCGGGAGCGAGGCGTCACCGTTGTATATTCATGAGACGCGCGCAGCCCGGCATGCTAATGAGGCGGGGCGCGGCGGTAGGCTAAGGAGGTGCTGGGTGGTGGCGGTGGCGACTGCGGGCTGGGATCAGCCGGGCGGGAGCAGTGTAGGCGCAGGGTCACCAGCCAGCGCGAAGCCAGACATGGAGCCGCCCGGCGGGGGTCTGGGACCTGGCCGCGGGACCCGGGACAAGAAGAAGGGCCGGAGCCCGGACGAGCTGCCCGCGGCGGGCGGCGACGGCGGCAAATCCAAGAAATTTGTGAGTGTCCTTCCCACCCGGTTCCCTCAGCCCGGCCCGGTAACCGCCCTCTGGACCCGGGAGATCCCCGCAGTCGGCCCCAGGGATGCACGCCTGTCTCTAGGGAGCCGCCCCCGCGCCTCCCTTCCTCGTTTTGTTGGGTCTTGGGTACCACAGCCCGACCTCCTACCCCTCCAGGACCTCGGGGAGCCCCGGAGTCCCACCCGGCGCCTGCCCCGGCAACCTCGGAGCTTCCTTCAATCCCCGGCCCGCGCGCTCTGCCCTTCGCCCCCATAGGCGGGCGGGTCTCAGCCCCATCTCTTTCCTCTCAGCACCACTTCCTTTCTTCTTCCTCTATTACCCGAACACGCCTTCTGTATCTCGGTCCTCTGTGCTTTTCTGAGTCCATTTTCTCCTGTTACCCTTACCCCGCTTTTTGGAATTTTATTTGTTCTGCTAAAGGTCACTTCCTTCACCAAGATTGATCGCTTTCACCTGCTAACTTTCCTGCCGCCCAGCCCTCTTTCTGGGCCCTCAGCCCGGTGTCACCTAATAATCCCTCCTCTCAGGAATGTTACCTGACTGGGGCCCTACCGTCCCTCCTCCCTCGGATGTTTGTCCTTGCCGAGGTCCTGTGGTCAATGGGCATGACGTTACTTTTCTTCGCAGTGTTTCTCTATCCAGAGAACCTGTCATTTTACCCTGTTGCTTATCACTTTTCAGGGAGTTCAAACTGCTCATGATTATGCCCTTCTTGACCTAGGACGATGATAAACCTCCCCCACAGGGAGGAAGTTAGACTCTAAGTCCAAGAAGTTTGTGAGTAATTGAATTGCATTCTTTTCATTTCCCATGATAACCGTCTCCTCAACTCCTCTGTCACCACCTGTGCCCACCTCCTGGCATCCCTTTCCTACCTGTGGAAGAGCATGGCTTTCTTCAGGTGCCCGTTCCATCCAGTCGGAATCTGAAGGAATATTGATATTCATGTAACCCTATCGTATTTCATTACCCTTGCTCACACTCAATCTTTTTTATTCCTCTCTCCAGGGAGCGATTTGTTTGCTTTTTATTGTAAAAGCTTTGAAAGTTATGGGACACTGTCCGAGAGGGGGAAAGGGTCTTGGATCTTGATAATCATTTGCTATTTATAACTGTAGGTATTTAGTCCTCCGTCCAGGTCATTATGCCCCCGACCCCGGTATCTCTTTCTGCTCACCAAATGGTTTCTCTTTCCTCTTTCTCTTTTCTCAAACCCCCGTCCCTTACATTCTGACCCAACTCCACACGTTTGGGAAGAAAAGTGAAAGAGTGATAGAATGAGAGAGAAAATGTTGCTTTGGGACCTAGAGGGTTGTGATGTGAAGAGTACTAAACAGAATTAAAATAGTGACTCATCTCTTCCCACATATTTCTAGCAAGGCAGGTGCTTCTGGACGGTCCTTTCCTTACAGGCTGTCAGAGACTGTTTTTATCTGGCAGAACATCTTTGTCCTCAGAAATGTAGGAGTGACGGTAGTGATGACCCTCCTCTATGGTAACTCAGCATTTCTCTGTGTTTCTTTAGGCTAAGAATTGATCTTCTAGGCGGAGAGTTTTCTTTCTAAGACTTAAGGTCTAGGGCCCATACTCCTTCTGTTGCTGTATCTTTTTGTTTTGGTTTTGTTTCCAAGGGGACTGTTTGACCTTCTCACCCAATTCCAGCTATTCCTGCTGATTTATAGTGACCTCTGTGACTTGTAAATATATTCCAAGTCCTTTATAGAATTTTATATGTGCTTTTCTTTTAACTAACACTTGTGTGTTTCACAGATGGGTGAAATCTATTAAGTACAAGTGGTGCTAAAAGGTGAGATACCTGAGGAAACTACTTCATTTCACCTGTTTTTTGGAAGTCTTGTATATGCTGAGTGGTTTGGCTCAGAGTTGTTGGCATTTACTGCAGAGAGGGTGGAGCTGAACCAAGTTCCCTTTTTCTTTCTGAGGTGTTGGTCTTAACCCTTAACTTGCTGAATTAAAAAAAAATATGTAGCGCAGATAGGGAGGAAAATTACATTTTCTAGGAAAGTGATCCTGCTTAACCTCTTTATTGCCAACTGTAACATACCCTAAGGCATCAGAATATTCTGTCTTCCTCACTGATCTTTTCATGAAAACCCTGGAAGTGAGAGACCAGGGGAGCATTGCAATTCACTTCTCTTTGTATCAGAGTCTGTATATGTGGGTGGGTGGAGTGGGTGAGGTTGCTGGTGTGCTTTTGTTACCGATGGCTTAGTTTTCTTGAACTACAGGCTGAAAGTGAACTCAAACTGTTTTGCCGCCTCCATATTTTCTAGAGCGTGTGTCCTCTGGAGCTCCATTAAGAATGCATTTTATAAAACTGCACTGGTTTGTTCGTGGGCTGCCCAAAGGTTATTTGTTTGCATCTGAGGGGTTACTAATCCCTTTAGCTTCTTCTGTCTTTCTAGGCTTATGTGGGTTCTAGGTACAGTACAGATCAACTGATGAGAACACAGAACTCACAAATTACCTTAGATATTCTCTCTGAGGCATCTCTGCTGTTCTCTGAGGCATCTTATGTGGAAAGGTGATGGAGTGTAAGTTGGAGAAGTGATTGGGCATCTTTTGAAAATGCGGTTGTGAGAGATGCTGGCGTGTGGCTGTAGCCAGGCTGCCTGGTATTCCCCCTGGGTTCCTCATGAGTCTGTCTTCTCCTGGGCCGGGAACACATCCCTTCTCCAGCCTTATTCCGGTTCCTTTCAGAAGTCCTTAACATAAAGGCAAACAAGAAATCCTAACTAACAGTGTTTTCTGACTTTTCAGCCGTGATGAATGTAGGTGCCAATTAGACTGATTTCTGAAATATGTAAGGGAAGTAAGTATAATCAGGACGTTAGGAGACTGCAGAGTATTCTTGCATTTTATAGACTCCATGTCGCCTCATACAGTCAAGAAATCGATACATTCTACGAAAGAATATTGCTTCCTGACTCAGCTAGGAGCATAACTTTGTAAAACATGAATTTCAGCCTGGGATTAGAGCAAATAGATGATAATTTTTAAAATCTGTTTAATTTTGGATGCCCGTGTTGAACTATTACCAGGTTGTAGTTTCATGCCATTCTAAAAGGAAAGTGATAGCAAAAATACAAGTGTTTAGTTATAGACTCCTGTCCAAAATGACAGCAGTCAGAGGTGAAGGATGCCAGGCAGGATTTAAAGCAGATGCTAGGAAAGTAGAGAATGTAAAAGAAATGGAGTTGTTCATGAAGATTTCTGCTTCTCTTCTCTTTAAGGAGATCTTAACTTTGATACAAAAAGTCACAGAAAACCAAGGAGTATACAGAGAGCTTTATACAAGTCCTGTGTTTCTTTTTGTTGTTGGTTTTGTTTTTTTTTTTTGAAAGATGATAAACACAGGGATTATTACTTAGTTTAGAAAAACGGGAGAGGAGCCTGCAGGAATGTTCCTGAGATGCTTGAGATGACAGGATGTTACCTTAACAAGTTCTGCCCTTCTTCCTGCCTTGTCTTTAAAGACAAGGATCTACTTGATGTTACCTGTACTTGTCTCTAAGGAAATCCTCCCTCAGGGAATGCCTCAGAATTAAAATCTCTGCCTTGGGAGAGTTGGTAAATGTTGGAATACTTGTATTTAAAAAAGTTGAAAATGTTATTACCTGTAAATTGTGTTTATTCTAGAAACTAAGAGAAAAGTAGTAAGTGAAAAGCGGTTTAACTTTGTTGATGGGCGTATGGGTCAGAATAGACTCATTTTATTTCCTGTGTGATAGAATAAGCTTTCACTATTCCCTGGGGCCCTTCATGTATTTTATAAATGGATTGCCAAGTTATTCTTGGAGAGTGTTATATTTTCAGTGGAATGTAATAGAGGCTTAAAAGGTAAGATTATGCTACATATGATTTAGGAGGACAGGTTAAGATCATGTTTATTAACAAGAAATACTAGGTATCATACAAGGTTTGTATATGCAGGTGGGTTTTCTCCCATTTTATGTATCAGTTAACTGAAATCATTGAAGCTACAAAAAGCACCTCAATTTTGAAACAAACTTTGCGTTACCTAAGTGTTTTTATGTATTATCTTGAGCTGCCTATTCCTAGTCACTTTGATTTGAAAGCGGTCGGAAAAAGTTTACCTCTTGCTGGCCAGCAAAGTGGGTGTTTGCTCCAAGTTAGGGTTAGGTGGGACAAAGCCAAGGCTTTGTCATCCCTGCTGCCCATCATCCCCTCCCTCTTTGTTTTTGTTCCGTCCCTGCTTCTACAGGGTTTGGTTCTAGTTTCATGACCAAGCCAGGCTTTTGAGGAATCAGGAGCCATGCAAGCTGGTGATACTAAAATTTCTTAAAACCTGAAAGCTAAAATTGAGAAGTAAACAGTATTTTTATCACTATGAATATATTTTACCTTTTTTTAACTTCTTTTTTTTAAAACAAAGTTTTTAGAATCAAGGGACCCTTTTTAAGGAAGTAAAAGAATTACTGAAGGAAAAGGGAATTATTGAGACCAGTATTTTAATGATTTTTACCACCAGTTACAGGATAACTGGGTGAATCATTGTTCTTCCAACTCTGAGAGCCTCACTTCCATTCATTACTGAAGCTTACTATGAATGGGGGTCTTAAATTTTAGAGTTGGAAGGGACTTTAAATGCCATCAAGCCCAAACACCCACTCAGTGCAGCAGTCCTCACAGTTGTAGGTTGGAAACATCAAGGGGCTAAGGGATGGAAATGGGATAAATGAATGGAGGAAGAGAAGCTGAAATTTTACATTTTCTTTAGTAAATTTCAGGATCTTGGGAAAGCTAGAGTAGTAAGTAGAAAGGGATATAAGAGGAACAGATACTCTAGAAGCTATGAAACTGAGAGCGGAAAAAATTGAAAAAACTTGTTCTCTATGTGGAAGCAATCTCACACAGAAGGTGGGAAATCCCAGCCTTGGTGATTATAAGTGGTCCTTAGGCAGTAGCTGCTTTGGCATTAAAAGCATTTTTTTTCT